CCAGCGCCGCTGGTCTCGCTGCCGTGCGGCGGCCGCTGAAGGGCGAGGAAGGCTCCAGGGGTGCCAGTCCGAGCGAGCAGGGTCCCTGTGTTTACTCTCGGTGCTTTGTGCCGAGCACGGTGCACGCTGCCAGGCTCAGTCTTCCCTCGGTTTGCACAGGACACCGCAACCAAGCGTGAAAACGGAACGCGACTGCGAGCGGGATTCAGCTGGTGCGGGGGAAAGGGTTTCACGTTGGCTTGATGAACAAGTGTCCTGCTGCACGCTGCAGACCGCCGTGCCCCACCTGCACGAAGCAGGGAGGGGGGCACCAGGTTATTGGTAACCGCAGAGACAGCGTGGAAGAGTCTAATATGTACCTCAGTGCCTTTTTTTTTTTCCCTTAAGTGTGAAAACTCTGCATTTGGGCTAAGGAGGAGGTTGGAAGGGGCTTTTGTCAAGAGCCTTGTCAGCCCTGTCCCCCCGTTACCTGAAGTACTGTTGTGATGAGGCTGCTTTTGTCCGTAAAGGGACGAGGAACTGTTGTGGTTTTTTTCTTGAAGGGGACTGCTTGCGATATTTCTTTTTTTTCCTCCCCAGATTTATACCTGAGTATGTTTGTTTATAAACCGTAAGAGAGTAACTGCATCAAAGCCCCTCGGTTTGTGTAAATGCCACGTTCTGCAAGCTTCGTTCCAGCTCACGTTGTAGGCAGTAGTGTGAAAGGGTTTGCTAACAGGGCTATGGCCTCTGGCACGTGGTGCAGGGACGGCCTCCCGCCTGTACTGTACTCTACACCCAGATGACCTTTAACAGCACGGCAGCAGCCCAAATAGAGCAGCGATTCTCATGCGCTGGGGCTGCTTGTCCATTTACAAGAATACTTATTACTTCACTATGCACTTGTGAAGTAATTTAAATAACATTTATCTAGTGCTTTGAGTCTTGAAAGCATTGTATAAATACTTCTGTTCAGTCAAAGAACACTGTCAAAGCTGCCATTGGTTCTGAGAAGTAAGATCCGGATGCTTGGTTCTTAAATCCCTTATCTTTCTGGCTAAAAGTTGTAAAGATTCCTTTTTTGTCTTTGTTATTTTCTACCAGTTTTGGTGACTGTCTCCCTTTCCCCTCCTGGAACCCAGCATGTCTTTGACATCTTGTAGAAGGCATGGCTTCTTATGCAATTACCGTGAATGCTGCTGAAAACCTCCTGCAAGGGGAGGGCTGTTTCTTTTGGTTTTCCAAGACACGGGGCATCTGATGAATTGGTAGATCTTGAAACTCAAATTCTCAACAGTCAGTTAGGTCTGTCCTAGACAAAGCTCATCGGCCCCTTTCTTAAGCGCAAAATACTGTTGGCAGTGCCTTTGGTTAGTATATTGTCTTGCCTAGTTCGTGTGAATTTATTTTTCATGCCTACTGTAAAACATGTAAATTAATGTGTATAGAATGGAATAGTAAAGCTTCTATGGCAAAGTGAAATGCATTTTTGCAATGCTGTAATTTATTTTTACTACTCTCTAGTAATTCTATGGCATTTTTAAAAAATGTCTCACTTCCAGCTTTTTTGAAGGTTCTGAAACTACTTGTTCATATGCAGACAGTGTAAAAGACAACGATAATAAAACTGTCAATAATTAAAGAAATTTCTTTAACTTCTTTTTCTGGCGCCCTCCTATGGAACGTTCCTGTATTGAGTCTAAAGGGAAAATCCAGGAATCCTTCCTAGAAGTGAATTTAAATTTCTTAACCCTAGTGTTTAAGCTTCAGCTAAAGCAGTACAGAACATCTACCCCTGAGAAACCTGACCAAACCATTCCATTAATCTTCTCGTAATATTTCAGCTGGATTTGACAGAACTGCTACCTCTGTCTACCTGTGATACTTTACAGTTAATGTCATGCACTAAAATGTATGTATATATAAAATAATATAAACCATAAAAATCCAGCCACTAGAGTTCATTGTCAGTGCTGAAGTGTCTGATATTAATCCCTGGAAATGTTTAAAAGGATAAAATCTAAAAGCAAATGGGTTTTACTTCTGACATACCCAATCTATGGCACAAGACACTGGACTGTTCCAGGACAGTGTGGTGGAATGTACTTTGCTTACGTTTTGGTGGCGGTTCTGTTACTATGCCTTTGCTAAAAGATGCAAAGCAAGAATGTTAAACTAGCCAAAAAGCCACTGTAGTCAGAAAACCAGTGCACCATTAGTAACTTCTAGAAAATAAATGGAAAAGAATAGTGCTACAGGTTTTATTCAGCGTTTTATTTTTATGAAAAAATGAACAACTGGAGCAATATTATTATTTGGGTGAATCCTAGACCTTGTAAACATCCAGGAGTCATTTTTGAATGAATAGGGCCTGTACATTATCCTTGATGTGTTGGCAGAACACTCCTATAAATAATGAGATCTGAGTAGTTCTTACAGTAGATTTTTCTCTTACTTCTTCCGGCCAAGCTTGGGGGCCTTCTCAAGGCCTTGAATGTATTTCCGAGGTAGCTGGTATTCTTCTACAACATAACCAAGAGTTTGCTTCAGGTAAATATTCAGAGCTCAAGAATTAAAATCCCTATCTTGCTGTCACCAGTCCCGGCCCAGTTCCAGAACAGACTTACCTAGCAGCATCTTGGCCAGGTGATGGATTTGGTTGCCTTGGATCTGGACCTGAACTCTGTCTTTTGTTCCTGGTACTGGGGCGATGGTGGCACTGGCTTGTACTTTTTGTTGCAGAATGTTGGCCACACACTGTGGGTCTAGACCGTACAGCTCCAGGTTCTTGATAATTGTCACCTACAGGATTTAATAATCATTGCAGACATCACTGCTGTAGGCATTAGCAAGTCGTGTCCCGTTCATCCCAGAAAAACGAGCTGCAGGGGCTGCTCTCAGAATCTGGGCGTCTGCTCAAAACCCCCAATTTTAGTTCTCTCTTTACCTTCTTATTTGACGATCTCTGTGCTATGGTTATGTCGATGGGCTCAATGTTTCCTTTCCTCACAACAGGTTCTTGTCCAGAAAAGGTCACCTGGTGTAGGGGCTGCAGTCGTTCAAGGCACCTAAACGAAGTTTATACATCCAATTAGTCTATATAGTACAGCAAGGCTGATGATAACTATGCTTTTCCACTGCAGCCTCTCACAAGTTTTTGAGACTACATGAAAGCCAAGATTCTATGTGTGAGAAGAATTTGTATCTTAAGAAGATAAGGCATGATGATCTCATGTAAAGATTTGCATCCTAGCTATTATTTAAAGAAAGGGACTGACTAAAAAGAAAACCAGTCTCCTGACTCGCAAAATCTATAGCTT